GCTCCAAAGGCCGCCGCTGCTCTTTGTTTTCTACTCCACTTTTCTTTGTTTTTTTTGGGCATTACTTTGAAAATTTGTTTGCTGAACTCACTTGTGGTTCCTCTACTGCATTTTTGCCTAATTAATTCCGTAATTGCCTTCTGTGGGTCTGTGTTGAGCTCTGGTTGGCTCCAGTCAGTCATTTGTCGGCTTACCTGTGACACACTGGCTTTTATTACGCTGATTGTTGCCATAAATTAAGTTAGTTGCTAAGTTGATTGTTTGGGGTTTCTTAGTGAATTGAGTTTGCCGTTTGATTTAATTCTTCTCTGTGCGTACACCAGTGGTACTGGATGTGGTAGTTTGCCTAACATTTATTCATTCTCTTTGGTTGGCTGCTTGATTGAAAGCTCCGAGCTTGTGACTAAGTTGTTATTGCCTAAATTCTGACCTGCTATTACTGGACTTGCTGAATTCTTGGGGCATTTGTGGGGATTTTGGGTGGATATGTGTCCAATTGCTGAAATTTGTTGCTTTGTTTAATCAGTCGCATTGCTCCTAGTTTGCTTGAGTGAAATTGGTTGGACGTCCTTTGCCCGTGGAGTTTAACTGGTACATTGTTTGGAATGATTTTCTGGTACTGATTGACTTGTTGGGCTTAAATTGCTCAGGGCTTTAAATTGCTAATTTGGTGGGCCATTTATTACGCACTACCCTTTTGAATTGGGAGATACCTGTGCTTATTGGGTTGATTGTTGACTTCATTAGAGGATGTTGATTTCTACTGATCTGCATTTACTTGTTCCTCTATATGTTGGCAATTTTGTTTCTGTTGATTGGGTTACTTGTTAGCGGCAATAGTGAGATCAAGGTTCTCTTCTAGGTCCAGAATCTCTTGACCTTAACCTACTCCAACCCAACTCAAACCAAGCCTCGCCTCACCCACTGCTGTGGCCCTGCCATGATCTCCGTGATTTCAGGGAAGTACCGTTGTTCTTTTGCTTACTATTACTGTTTATTTAGCACATTGAGGGCAATGTGTGAATTAGGTGTGGGGGGGTCAGTTTGGGTGCTAGTATTTTTAGTTTTTTTTTTTGTTCTAGAGGTTTTTCCTTTGTTTTAGTTTGATATTTATCTCCTTTTTCGTTTATTTTATTTCCTTTTTTTTTTCTAGTGGTCAGTCTTCATATGAATACCAAGTTTGATGCTGGATTGTTGTCTCTAATTCTGCTATTGCCAAGTATTATTAACAAAAGGATATTAAATTAATGTGGTTGAGTTCATGAACATCTCTCTGGTGAATATCGGTAATTGCTTGACTTTTCCAATTTTTGGTTAACTTTTCTAGGCATGGGGAATGATAGTTGGCATTTTTTTTTATGTGAATTGGTCCAATTATTAATTTTAGTTCTCCATATTTGGAAATTTGAGGCTGGCTGCTGTTATCTTTGTGTTATTTTTAGTTATTGTGCTGTATGGTTGTAAATAAGAGCTGACTGTACTCTGCTAGTAGTTACTACTAAGTAACCGGGGATCTTCACCTAAAGTGTCGATTTTCGCGTCAAAAGGTAGTAATTGCTATGAGTGCGTGGTCCTGTAGCGATTGGAGCTGAGTAACCGGGCTCCTCCATCTATCAAATGTTGGGGTTCGCGTCAAAAGGTTCTAAGGGCTATGGACTAAGTCTTTTGTTACTCAAAAAAAAAAATAAAATAAAATAAAAAATAAAATAAAATAAAATAATATATTGTGTTAGTATGTGAACAAGTCAGCTTGTCGGTTTGTGATCTTAATGTCGAGATTTTTATTAATAGTTGGACCATTTACTGATAGATGTGAGCAACCATTCCTTTTCCTTAGATTAGTTTGCTTTAAATTGGAGGAGTTGGTGATTGGGAAGCTAACCGGGTGGTTTTTCTTTGATTTTAACCCGTGATGCTTGACATATGTTTTTCTGGGTACCTTGGCAATACGGTAGTTGGAACAATAGCCATTATTAAATTTCGGTATTCAATTGTTGTTCTCATGCTTGAGGGCAAGCATGATTTAGGTGTGGGGAGAATTGATAGGGCATAATTTGTTGTTAATTTTATGATTAATTTCCCTCTTTGTTCTTGCCAAATATTGTTTTAATTGTTGAAATGTACTTATATTTGGTATTGGGACTTAATTTCAGGGAATGGAGCAGGAAATTACGAAAAAGGGGATAATTTCTGGAGAAAAGGGAGACTTCTAAAAAACTTCACAAACCTGGCCCGCGTTGCTGAGAAGAAACGGACTTCCAGCTCCCTTTTGCTGACTAGGAGTCTGACTATGAAGAAGAAACGAAAAAGAAGGACATTGAGACCTTTTGTCTTTTCTTTTCCTTATCTTCGGCAGAAACAAACGGAAATAGGGGGAGGCTGAGTAGCATTTGGAAACGAAAAGAATAGGGAGAAAACAATTCGTCAGAGCCCCACTTTTACTTGTACTCTTGCTCAATTCGGTAGGGACCGCACAGGGGCTCAAAACAAGGAGGTGGATTCGGCAGGCTTGTGCTAATTCGTGGGGACCACGGAGAGAAGTGAAGCAATTTGTTTTAGATTAGGAGACAATTCTTTTCCTTTGGCCGCGGCTTTATCTTTGGGGAATTGAGAGTTTTTTAGCATAGTTTAGTTTTGTTTCTTTCTTGGCTCTTTGGATGGCCTGGACCTCAATGAAATTACTTGAAGATTTTCTCATGAGACGTGGTTAAGTTTGTCTAGTCAAGAACAACGGAGGACTTGGTTCTACTAAATTTGTGAGATCGAATTAGTTTTTATTTATTTTCATTATTCACTGATATTTGTCTATCTTCTGCTTTATGTTCATATGGTTGTTTTATCATTCGATTATCCAGGGCCCGGATTCTAGATTAATTCAATAACCTGAAGCCAATTAGGATAGTTAAATCCGTAATTGTTTAATTATTCTAAACTGGTGGCAACTGGCATGATTGGATTTGTGTCAGGGGGATAGACAGGCTAACTTAAAGAGACCCTCGTAGCGTGTTGATTGGTTAGAATTAGACTCTTCTAATTATTCATGCAATTAGGGAATTGAACTTCTATGGTCGTACTTAGGGTTATTTCCTGATTAGAGAAATAGTCAACAGTCGTACCTTGGCTATCGACAAATTGAGGAAGAGTTGGTTGTTTATCGCGTGTATGACAACTATAACTAATTTATCAGATAGTAACTGGAATAATCCTTGCATCTGTGATCGAATTAAGTGAACCATCTCCGAAGTTGTCTCTTGGCTAGAGTTCGTCAATTATTATTTTTATTGTGATAATTATTAGTTATTTGAGTTGTAGTTATTTTATTTTATTTTAATTTATTCCAAGCAATTTAGTTACTCTCATTTTCAAAAACCCCCATATCTGGAACTTGAGAAGAAATTAAATTATCCCCAGTCCCTGTGGATTCGACCATGCTTACCGCTATATACAGAATTTGTATTTTATTTGAGCAGGTATTTATTATTGCACAGGTTCGGCACCTGTCAACCCTCTCCAGGCAGATGCTGCCCCTGTGTCTGTTCCCCGCCTGGAGGCCCTATTGCACCTGTTGCTGAACCAAATTCACCATGACCTCTTGAGGGCATAAGTTTGTTAAATTTGCTAAACGTGTAGGATTGTACGTGCTTTCTAACTTGTAAATGTATGAATATGAACTTCTTATTATTGAGATCATGTTGAAGTGATGTATGTGCTTTACAAATGAATAAGGCGGTTTCGTTGTCATTTTGCATATACTTTTACTTTGCTTAACATACTAGAGTTAATTAAAGTAGGTATCTTGTTTCACAACAATGAGTCAAGGATTATTCTTGTATACTGTGTATAGAAGATTAACCCAAGAGTTAAATGAAGATAGATATTTTGATGGTAACTTTGCGTTCGCTGCTTGTCATCGAAAATCACATTATACACACTAAGTAGGTCTACAAAATAGAAGAGAAAAGGAAAAAGAACGAAAGAAGATTAACATCTGCTGCGAATTTAATAAATTAAAGGAAACTAGAAGTTGTGAACTAAAACTATCCATATCCAATCAACTAGAATTCTACAACCCTCATAATATTTTGACAGTGCAGTAACTATATACATTTTTTTAATGAAAATATTGATAGGGAAAAGTATCTCGAGAAAGAGCCCATCTCGAGATAGTGGGATTTAATTAGTTTGGCGGCACCAAATCGAACTAAAAAATAGTAGTCATTGATTGTGATTGATACTTACGATTTATGAGGGTAAACGTTTCTTTTTTTTAAAACTTTATGTACACTTCGTCCCTTGAAGAAAGATTATTTGACCGAACCGTTAGATAAACGTCACGATCATTACATCATGGCAATCTCATGAACAAAATAGGAAAAGTAGTGGATAATTTTCCTTTTCCCTCTACTAAAATTTTTGGAAAAGAACAAAATTAATCAGGTGAATGGTGTCTTATTCTTTGGTTACAAGTAGTACCTCCAAGCCAAATTGAGATCTTTTGCTCTCATGTTTGTCTGGTAATTCTTTTTTTCATCCTAGTAAGGTGTCAATGACTTGCTATTGTTGTGATTAATTGAATTCATCTTTGGCTTGTTTGGTCCATTAGTTTTATTGTTTATATTTGTGAAAATCTTGATCCACCTAATTTACGGCACGCTTCATTTGCTTTGGACCTATAGTGATGCAATTACATTGTTTGACTCGCGTGACGATTAATAAATTGTACCGTCTTTATAGCATGTCTTGTCATTTCATACTCTTTCTTTTCAAAAGTAAATTCTAGTGAAAAGTTCACTTGCAAAATCAATAAAAAAAAATTAATGAAAAGTTTAGTTATCTAAACTCTAGAGATCATTAAATATCTATACCAAGGACAAGTGTGATTGAAATTTTTGTATGGTCATACGGTTGTTATATTTCTTATACATTAGTGTATTAGTATCTAATTTTATTATGCTCGTAAGTTTTATTTGTGCAAATCAATTTAATGTATAAATAAATCTAATTGTTAAATATGCACTAAATTTTGAAAAAAGACAACAATCACACACATCTGCACCAAATACAACCGTAACTGGCTAGTTATATATAATATGACTTTAGACTCGGTAGAACTAGTAATTTTTGGGAGGACATGGACCTGCTTTTGAACATGGCAGGAGCTGAGTTTTGATCTTCTTTAGATCAGCAAGAACATCATGCATATTGCTTCTCTCCCTTGGAGATTCCCTTGTGCAATTCAAAGCCACTTTCATGATTGATGAAATGCAGTCTAACTTTTCATGATTGGACCTCAGCAGATTAGCATCTACAACATGAACCAGTCCATTTAGCATAGAATCACTCACCCAACTCTTCAGGCTCAAATTTTCGCCAAACATTTCGTCACTGGGACTTTTTCTTGTAAAGACTTCCATAATCGTGATTCCAAAACTGTATACATCGCATTTTGTTGATACTAGTCCTTCCAGTCCATACTCTACAAACAAAAATAGTAATCCAAAAGATTTGGAATTTGGGATTTCCAAGATTAACTGCAAGGCAAAAAAGCAGAGTGGCTATACCAAGAAGAAGCTTTACCTGGAGCAAGATAGCCAAGTGTGGCTAATGTTTTGGTGTACGTAATGCTATCCTCATGCCCCAGCAACTTTGTAACACCAAAATCAGTCACATGGGCAACCATATCGTGATCTAGGAGCACATTACCGGGCTTCACATCACAATGAACCACTGGAATCGAATAACCGTAGTGCAGATATTGCAGTGCACATGCCACATCAATCAATATGTCTAATCTCTGCATGACTTCTAGAAAATAGTTGTGGGAGTACAACCATTTCTCAAGGCTTCCGTTGGGCATAAACTCAAGCACTAATGCTTTGAAGTCTCTATTTGAGCAGCTGCTAATGACTTTTGTCAGATTTCGATGACGAAGATTGCACAATACTTCACATTCTACATCAAAACTATTGAATGCTCCTTCTTGTTGAATTTTAAACACTTTAACTGCAACAATCCTCCCATCATCAAGGGTGCCTTTATAAACTGATCCAAAACTTCCTGTGCCCAACAAATTGCTCTCATCATACCCGTCAGTTGCTTGTAGAAGTTTGTAATACGAGATTCTTTCCTCGGTTGCAACTGACGATAGAACCCCTTCACTAGGAACTTGTTCTTTCTTTGCGCGTTTAAGATACAGGAATCCCACAAATATGGCAACTGCCACTGATATAAATGCTCCAAGGGCAGCGGATATGGTTCGACGCAACTTTTTGGCCTCAATCGACCACTTGAAGTACTTGGGCATGAGGGAACGTGGAACCTAGGTGCTCCACAAAGTGCTTCATTTGAAATGAAGGATTCTCCAGTGAAGTTTGAAAAAGGGCCCTTGGATGGTATTTCACCTCTTAACTTGTTGTAAGAGGCATTGAAGTAAACAAGAGACCGAAGGTTCTCTAGTGACATTGGAATCGTACCTGTGAGATGATTGTGTGAAAGATCCAACCATTCCAAGCTCAAAGTCGTGCCAATTGACACTGGGATTGATCCTTCCAATCTGTTGTATGCCAATAAAAGGTTCTGCAAGTTCACCATATCTCCGATGGGCTAGGAATACCACCTGAAATCTCATTGATTGACAAATCAATAGAAATTGCTGCCTTTAAGTTCCTAATCTCAGGAGGTAAACTTCCACGCAGTGAGTTTGAGGAGAGGTTAAGCACCAACAAATCTTTTAGGTTCCATACAGTGGTAGGCACACTAGAGCTTAACGCGTTGGAATCTAGGTACAGGTATCTCAAAGAAGTAACATTTTCTATGCACGCCGGAATGGATCCTGATATTTGATTTGCTCCCAAATATATTTCGGCCAAGTTTTGCAGAACGCATAGATAATCAAGGGAGTTTTTGCTCAACTTGTTGTCGTGAAGATCTAACCCTTGAAGGTTTTCCAAATTTTTCATGGTAATTGGCGGCATCCCACTTAACTGATTAGTGAACAGACTTAAAATGATCAGGCTACTCAAGTTGCCAATTTCATCCGGAATGCTGCCCCTTAAGTGGCAATTGTATGCAGAAAGTTGTTGAAGCGAAGTTGAAAGATTGCCAATAGAATTTGGAAGAAAGCCGTTAAGCGGATTTTCACTCACGATAAGTATTCTCAAATGTTTGCAATTTGCCAAGGAATTGATCCAGCTCAGCTCTGAACTAGATGAAGAGTAGTCACTCGTTAAATTGTTGGCTCCTAGAGATAGAATTTCTAGGAGTCTTAGATCCCCAAAGGAATTGGGAATAGAACCTGCGAAGTTGTTATAAGCAAATTCTATTATCTTCAGTTTAGAACAATTGGAGATAGAGTCCGGTATTGGTCCCCAGAAGTTATTCTCGGCGAGATAAAGCTCCTCTAAATTTGGAAAACCCATCCTTGGAAGATTGCCAGAAAGTTTGTTTCTTGTAAGACTGAAAATTCTTATCTGTGACAGATTAAAGATCTGCATTGGAATGAAACCAGTTAAGTTATTCACCAACAAGTAGAGTAGTTCCAAATTGCGTAGCTTGCTGATCTCTTGGGGTATTGCACCTACCAAATTACGGTACCAACATTAGCACAATAAAATTCTATATGAAGGCTTTGAATGCTTCTAAAGTAGCACCATTATAATTTTTTTCTTCATTTTGGATAATGGACGCCTGTCTACCTGTTATGCTGTTGTAACCAACGTCAAGTTCTTTCAGCATAGTTAAATTAGCCATCTCTTTTGAAATTTCACCTGGAAGAAAAAAAAGTGTAGTATATAGAGATGTTAAGAAGATTCACATATGCCTTCTAAACTTGGAATGGAGTATAAAGAGTTCATACCTGTAAAGAGTTTTCTCCTTAAAACTTCTATTATGACACTTAAACTTGTGTTTATTTAATTTTTTTCTTGTCCCCGGGGGAGGGGGGGGGGGGAGGAAGAATTCATATTATTTCGCTCATGCAGAAATAGGATGTTACCTTCTAAACTGTTCCAGCTTAGATATAGCCGCTCAAGTGCCTTCAAAGTGCCAATTTTTTTTGGTATGAATCCAGTGAAGTAATTCGAAGAAAGGTCCAGCAATTGAAGTTGTGAACAGTTATGTGTGCTTGATGGTATTTGACCATTTAACTTGTTCCCTGACAGCTCAATCCACTTGAGTCTCTGAAGATGTTGACACATATTATCTGGAATGCTACCAGATAAACTATTATTCTGGAAGAAAATCGATTCCAGTGAGGAAATGTTGAAAATCTCTGTTGGAATATTTCCCTGGAGATAGTTGAATGACAGACCTAACGTTTCCAGCTTGGAAACATTAGCCAAGGATGGTGAGATGAAGCCAGTGAAACTGTTGGTATTCAGAGATAATAGTCGAAGTTGAGGAAGGAAACCAAACCACTCAGGAAACTCTCCATTGAGATTGTTGACATCTAAATCAAGCACCCTCAACCGGCGTAATCGAGCAAATTCATGCGGCAGCTCTCCGTGAAAATTATTTCTACTCAGGTTAAGGGAAACCAGAAATGACATATTTCCCAGCTGCGGTGGTATGATGCCACTAAGACTCATATTGGAAAGATCCAAGGCAGTTACTCGCCGGTGACAAGAGCCACAAGTGACTCCTACCCACTGACATACAGGGGAAGAAACAGACCAGTTTTTCAACAGGATTTGATGAGGGCCCTGTGAGGTGATGCGAGCTCTCAACGCAAGAAGAGCATCTTGATCAGTGGTAATATTGGTTGTGGTCATGGCTGAGGAAGCTGAAACAAAATACAGCAAGAAGAGTCCCTGAAGGAAATGATTGAAAATTTGCTCCATGATTAAGTGCAATAGAGACGGCAAGTGATGTGCCACTATTTTGATGGACCCAAATTGATAATCAATCACAAACCCACAGAAAAATATTCAAGGCAAATGATCAAAGAGGCAAAGGGATTTTTCTATTGATGAAGCTAGATTCTAGCTACACACAATGAAAAGTACGACAGAGATTACTACTTATAAAAAGCCAAAATACAAACAAAGAGGCCACGGATTTGTACTATTTAACTGATATCTTTCGGCCCTCACACACACACACATATATATATATATAATGACCTGACTACTACTAGTACTAGTACAACTTGGAATTGAACTCTACTATATTAACCAAACAAAATACCTAATACTAGTAACCAATTGCACTAGCTTGGTTTAATAATTTCATACATATTTTATGAACAGCTTCTGTCCTTTTGGCATTAATATTAAATTTGCTTACTGATTTACATTTCTGGGAATTGTACTATGAATTCCAAGTCTAAGAAGTTAACATTAGCACTCCATTTTCTTGCACAAAGAATATGCGAAGTGTGTTTGGACAGTAGATTATTTTGGATAATATTTTGAAAAAAATACTGTAATAATTTTTTGATGTGATGTATATGAAATAAAAAAATATGTTGATGATATAAGGAAATAAATTTAAATAAATACTAATTCACTATCCAAATTATTGACCAAAAGTCAAGCAAGTCAATGCTAAAACTACAACACTCGCACGCCTAGTTGAGTTCACATTCTTTGCAAATGCGGTCGTTGAATTCACATTGGGATCTTGACTCAAAATCAACGGAACACTTTGGCCCAGTAGAGTCACATCATAGAATTTCAAGTCTTAAAAGTCTCTCTTATAAAACATAAGGAATCTTTAACAGTTCCTCGGGACCTCTGTAGTTTTGAAGCAAAGGGCCTTTTGTTTTGAGTTCTCTGTATGGTATGGTAGCGGTAGGTAGACCTCCAGAGCAACACACTTCCATTAAGGCACGATCCTAATATGCCATCAATTGTGCTACCACATTGGGTCGCAGTTCCATCATCCATTAAGGCAGGATTCCTGCCTATCAACACACTTCCATCGACGTTGATAGAAGTCACTTTGCACTTGTTTCCATATCCATGTCAGGATCCTTAATCCAGTTCCGGGAGCTTAATGTAATCGTGCCACACCGTATCACAGGACACGCCTTTGTCAGGGTCGAAGGTCTCATCCATAATGCCCGTCTGTGCAAAAAGGAGCTTCCTACCACGCACGAACAGCCTCGCACGTCTTCGCAACATTGGCCCTGCACTCCCATTGCTAGCTGTGCTGCTGAACAACCTCCTTCTTCGAATCGTGGCAGAATATCGCTTCGCAGTTAGACTCGCCATTTTTCGACACAACAACGAGCAAATGTGTCATCACACATCCCAATTTATATCACGTTATTTTAGTGCATAACCTTTATGTGAATCACCAATAGTTTCCGTCCTCTATTCAACTGTAGATTTCCTCTTCTCCAGTGATAAAACCGTAATTTCGATACTCTATTGGGCCAATTTTATTGGCCCAATTAATGTTTCAATAGTGAAAAGGTCCGACCCATGCTGCTTTGCATGGGGCCACAGTGCACATTGTGCATTGAACAAATAGTAAAAAGCTAAGTTTTTTGTAACTTGCACTAATCTAACAAGCCATGAAAAGACACCTTATTTGGAAAGTCATTTTTTTTTTCCAAACGCACTCACTATTGTCAATGCCCGGTATAGTGTGTTGTTGAGTTGGTTATTGTCATGTTCTGCCAAGTGGACATGTTATGTTTTTGCCACGTATACACATTGCCTTAATTTATTTGATTAGATTTAAATTGTTTTATTTTTATTAATAACAATTAAGAGTAAATTTTATATACACTGTCAGTATATACACTATCACGGTTGGATGGGTGACACATAAACAAATTTTGAATTTCAAAATTAAATTTTACACATATGTCATATATTTAAAAGTAAACCTTATATATACTGATAGTGTATATACTACCAGTGTATAGAAAATTAATCCTATATTTAATAGTGATAGTGTATATACTAATAGTGTATATAAGATTAATTCAACAACTAATTCTAAACCTTTTTCATGTTTTAGGTGTACTATTTTTATTAACAACGATCAATCACGTACCCACTTTGTTACTGAATTTATGTTTTTAATGTTTTAATTTTGATCATATTTTACAATATTTACTATGTTTGTTAACAACAATCAATCACCACTTTTGTTATCCTTAATTTTTATACTTATATAAAGTAGGAAAGTTATATATGTTTACTTATGTTTATAATCAATCACCTTTTGATAGGATGCATTTTAGTGGGTATTTTGGGCATTATTGCACAATTAATTGACTAAATATTTTCCTTAATTGGGTGGATTCTACTGATATTTTGTTTTGAGCGTTAATTGCAGGAATGGATGCTGAAAAGTGCTTAAATTCAACTTTTAGAAGATTCATCGTACGTGGGACCCGCTTGAGAGATGAAGAAATCTAATTGTAATAGATTTTATTTTAATTTTATTTTTATTGGAGGAAGTCTTGTTTTTAATTGTGGGAAAAATCCCTTCCCGAAAATGTCGGACACAAACGGAGGGAAGTATTTAGACTTCCGTAAGGAGGCTTAGGTTATTATTCCTTTCTTACGTTTTGCTTGAGAAGGGGGGGAAAAAAGAAACAGGGAGGGGCGGCATCAGAGGAGAAAAAAAGCCGCCATTGTTGACATTTTCTAGGATTGCTTTTCATTTTCTGTTGACTTGAGCAATTGCTACTTTCCAGTCTATGAATTGAATTGGGTTGATCGAAATTGGAAGACAAAAGAAGCAATTGAAAGCTTTCTCTCGTATGTCTCTTTTGTGAGAGCAAAGGAAGAAAACAAAGCCGCCGTTGTTGACTCATCAAGGCTTTGGTTTTTACTTTCGCTGAATGCAATCCAAGTGAACAATCTGACTCTTGTACGTTTGGGCTTTTGGGGACAATTGCAGGAAATCCAAATTTCTTGCTCTTGTTCTCTGCTCTTGACCAAAAAGTAAAAGGTCAGACACGGTGATTTTTCCCAATTCTCCACGTGCGGCCTACTCTCCATTAATGAGGAGCTAAACCCCTAATTCTAATCAACCTAAACCCCTAATTCTAGTCAAGGGGGCAACTGACGAATTGGTTCACCGATTACTGTGAGATCTAAGCCGTTGTTAATTATTTTCTCCGTTTATTGGTATTTATATACTCCCTGCTCTTAATTGTTATAGTTCTTATGTATGATTGATTAGTGCGCAATAATTAATTATTCGTAGAGACTATTTTGCTAAATAGGGGTAATTGAATCCGTAATTGTTCGTTACCTCTATCCCAGTAGCAACTGGTATAATTGGGTTTATGTCAGGGGAATATATGATCTAGCTTAAATAAACCCTCGTAGCGTGTTTATTGGTTAGGATTGGACCTTTCTAATTATTAATGCAATCTGGAAATTAAATCCCACGGTCGTACCTAGGGTTGTTTTTGGGTTAGAGAAATAGCTAACGGTCGTACCTTAGCTATCGATAAATTACGGAAGGGTTAGTTGTTTAGCGCGTGCGAGACAACTATAACCAATCTATTAGTAAATGTTGGAATTACCTCTGAATCAATGATCAGTTGCATGAACCATTTCTGAAGTACACCCTTGGCTAGAGTTTCTCTTAGTTATTTCTTTTAATAAATTATTTTCTGCACTTAATTTGTTCAGTTGGCATTTGATACCAAAACCCCCCATTAATCTTGATTTGAAAAGAAACAAATATCTCTCCAGTCCCTGAGGAGACGACCCTGCTTACCACTGTCTACTAGTTAGGAAATTCAGTTAAATAATTAATTCAGGTATATCGGATTAAGCAAACTCTTCGGGAACAGGGTGAATCAAGTAACCCATTGCACACCTAGAGTCCCTGCTCCAGTACTCGAATTGATTACTGACTGTTTCAGGTGGTAGTTAGGTTTTATTTATTATTATTGCACAGGTTCGGCACCTGTCAATTTTTGGCACCTGTCAATTCACCTGCACTTACACACCTCCTGAGCACTTGATCCGAACATTGTCTCCAAAGGTACGGTTTGTCCCAAATGTAATATTTAGCATCACTTTTCAACTTGTCTCTCTTAACCTTTGGCCATCCTGTAGGCAGTTGATTAGTCACTAAGAAATTTACTAAATCGGCATACCAGGGTACAGACGAGTTAATAGCAAGTAGTTGCTCCTCTGGAAATGCCTCCCTCAATGGTGGCTCCTCCTTGTGAGCAAGCAAGCGGCTCAAGTGATCAGCAACTAAGTTTTCCGCTCCACTTTTATCCTTAATCTCCAAGTTGAACTCTTGAAGAAGCAGGATCCATCTGATGAGCCTTGGTTTAGCATCCTTTTTTGTCATCAAATATCTCAAGGCTGCATGATCAGAAAAAACTATTACTTTTGCACCTAACAAGTAAGGTCTAAATTTTTCTAGTGCAAAAACCACAGCTAGCAATTCTTTCTCCGTTGTAGAGTAGTTGAGCTGAGCTCCATTCAGCGCTTTGGATGTATAGTAGATTGCATGAGCAGCTCTGCCAATCCGTTGCCCCAGCACCGCCCCCACTGCATAGTCACTCGCATCACACATTATCTCAAACGGGATGCTCCAGTCTGGAGGTTGGATAACAGGTGGTGATGTCAATGACTCCCTCAATCTGTCAAATGCCACCTTGCACTCCTCGGTGATGTCAAATGCCACATCTTTCTGCAACAGTTTGAACAGGGGCGCTCCAATTTTTGAAAAATCTTTTATGAATCTCCTGTAGAATCCTGCATGATCCAAAAAGGAACGCACCTCCCGCACACTTGCGGGGTAAAGTAAAGCAGAGATAATATCGACTTTTGCCTTGTCTACCTCTATACCTCTGGCCGACACTACATGCCCTAAAACAATGCCCTGATCCACCATGAAATGACACTTTTCCCAATTTAAAACTAAATTTGCCTCAATGCACCTCTTCAAAATTAAAACTAAATTATCCAGACATTCATCAAAACTATCTCCATAAACACTAAAATCATCCATAAATACCTCAATAATCTTTTCTACGTACTCGGAGAA